CCCCATGTCTTGGCTACAAGGAGCTGCCCTGTGGTCCCTGGTGGCACTGCCACTCTGTGACCATGTCCTAAAGCCACCTGGCTGTGTCTTTCTCTCTCTCTCCCCAGAAACCTCCCTTGGCCACCAAGCTGCTGGCAGAGCTGCCYGACGATGCCCGGGTGGTGGCTGGACGCTTCCCCTTCCCCTCGTGGACCCCCAGCAGCACCCTGGGCCAGGGGCTGGAGCAGGTCTGGGCCTATGACATGAAGGACGTGCGGCGAGAAGCGCAGGACAGTGCCCAGGAGGGCCAAAGCTGAGCCCAGCCTTGTAAAGCCCAGTCTGAGCCCAGCCTCATTAAGCCTGGCACTGAGGTTCAGAGCTCTCCAGCCCTGGGCTCAGCTCAGGACAGCGGTGCTTGGCCACAATTTGCCCTGGAGACTCACATGGTGGCAGTCCCTCATTTTTCCAGAGAATTTGATTGGAGCCAGGGAGGAGAGAATCAGACCTGGAAATCCTGGGGTTCATGCAGGGTTTGAGGGATAAAGCCCCAGTGCCTCTTTCTGTATCATTGCTGCTTTATTTCTATTTAAGTTTTTAAAATAAAGTTTTGGTTGGTTGTTCCTCTGAAGTTTTGTTTTTCCTTTGCCTTTGAGCTGCTGAGTGGTCCTGGAGTTGGAGCAGCTGCAGTTCCTGGGTTTGGGCTTTGCTCCACCTTTCTAGCTCAGCTCCAGGAAGGATCAGTTTGGGCCTGCTCATCTATATAATATTCCATTTTTCCCTCAAACACAAAGGAAAATGGGATTTTTTCCACCTCAGAATCACRGAATGGTTKGGATTGGAAGGGACTTAAAGCTCCYTTTAAAGCTCCACGGCAGGGACACCTTCCACTGTCCCAGGCTGCTCCAAGCCCCARTGTCCAGCCTGGCCTTGGACACTGCCAGGGATCCAGGGGCAGCCACAGCTTCTCTGGGCACCCTGTGCCAGGGCCTSCCCACCCTCMCAGTGAAAGAGCAGCTCATCCCTTTGTCCAGCCCCACAACTGGGCCAGCCTTGGCTCCATCCCACAGGAGCTGCGAGGGCAGTGAGGGCAGTGAGGTGGGAGCAGCCCTTGGTCCAGATCCAGATCTCATCCAGGAGAAATGCTACAGCAGGAGCAGGAGCAAACCAGCAGTGAAGAGCTGCCTGGGAGCCAGTCCCGTGTCCGGGGTGTGCTCAGGGAAGAGCAGAATTCCTGCACCGGTGGATGGCCGGGGACAGCAGGACAGGGACAGACTGACACAGTTGTGACATTTCAGTCCTGTGAAACTSAGACCAGGAGCACCAAGTGTTTCCCTCCTGTTGGCAGCTCCCAGGCAGGGGAGGATCCTTTCCTGGCACTCCATGGAGCACAGAGCTCCTCYCCTGGAACGCTGCTGTCCCCAAGGTTGGCTCTGCTATGGCTGGTGGCCGGTGCTGGCCCCGGGGGCGTGGGGCACCTCGCTGCCCTCAGCGCTCCTCAGCTGCAGGATCTCCTGCTTGTACCTGCGGGGAAAGGCCACTGACAGTGCCTGGGTGTTCCTGGGTGTTCCTGGCCGTGCCAGGAGCTCAGCCTTTGCCAAGGAAAAGGGGTCCATGGGCTGTGCCAGGTAAGGGCTGAGCCTGAGCTGAGCTCACGGCCGGAGCAGGGGGGTCCTGCCCTGACAGACCCTGCCCTGCCCTTCCCAGCTTTTCTCCCTGCTCCAGGGCATGATGGGGCGGGGAGAGGGGAGCATAGATTAGGTGCTGCTGGGGGGCCTCGATTAGAACCTGTGATAAAAACCCCTAAAATTTCAGGCTTTAGATTTTAGATTCCTGTGGAGGTTCCAGGGAAACCTCAGAGCCCCTTCCAGGGCCTAAAGGGGCTCCAGGAGAGCTTGAGAGGGACTGGGGACAAGGGATGGAGGGACAGGACACAGGGAATGGCT